TTGCCTGCCACACAGCCAACCATGACAGACTCTTACAGCAGATGATTGTGTAGATTAAATGAATCAACACCCCAAGATCATTCTAACTATCAGAAACCTCGAAGCACAGGCCGAGGGGGCGGTGTGGCAGCAATTTTTCACACCAGCCTATCAATCAACCAAAGACCAAGACAGACTTTTAATTCATTTGAAAGCCTGATGCTTAGCATTGTCCACCCCAGCTGTAAAACTCAGAAACCAGTCTTACTTGTTATCATCTATCGTCCACCTGGGCCTTACACAGAGTTTCTGTCTGATTTCTCAGACTTTTTATCTGATTTAGTGCTCAGCTCAGATAAAATAATTATTGTGGGTGATTTTAACATCCATGTAGATGCTAAAAATGACAGCCTCAACATGGCATTTAATCTGTTATTAGACTCAATTGGCTTCTCTCAAAATGTAAAAGAACCCACCCACCACTTTAATCACACTCTAGATCTTGTTTTAACATATGGCATAGAAACTGAACATTTAACAGTGTTTCCTGAAAACCCTCTCCTGTCTGATCATTTCCTGATAACATTTACATTTACAATAATTGATTACACAGCGGTGGAGAGTAGACTTTATCACAGTAGATGTCTTTCTGAAAGTGCTGTAACTAAGTTTAAGAATATAATCCACCCACTGTTATCATCTCCAATGCCCTGTACCAACACAGAGCAGAGCAGCTATCTGAACACTACTCCAACAGATGTAGATTATCTTGTTAATAATTTTGCCTCCTCACTATGTATGACACTGGGTACTGTAGCTCCTGTGAATAATAGAGCCTCAAATGAGAAGTATTTGACGCCGTGGTATAATTCTCAAACACGTAGCCTAAAGCAGATGACTCGTAAGCTGGAGAGGAAATGGCGTGTCACAAATTTAGAGGATCATCATTTAGCCTGGAGAAATAGTTTGTTGCTTTATAAGAAAGCCCTCCGCAAAGCCAGAACATCTTACTATTCATCACTGATTGAAGAAAATAAGAACAACCCCAGGTTTCTCTTCAGCACTGTAGCCAGGCTGACAAAAAGTCAGAGCTCTGTTGAGCCAACCATCCCTTTAACGTTAACTAGTAATGACTTCATGAACTTCTTCACAAATAAAATTTTTATCATTAGAGAAAAAATTACCAATAATCATCCCACAGATGTAATATTATCTACAGCTACTCTTAGTACCATTGATGTTAAGTTAGACTCTTTTTCTCCAATTGATCTTTCTGAGTTAACTTCAATAATTACTTCCTCCAAACCTTCAACGTGTCTTTTAGACCCCATTCCTACAAAACTGCTCAAAGAAGTCCTGCCATTAATTAATTCTTCGATCTTAAATATGATCAACCTATCTCTAATAATCGGCTATGTACCACAGGCCTTCAAGCTGGCTGTAGTTAAACCTTTACTCAAAAAGCCATCTCTAGACCCAGCAGTCTTAGCTAATTATAGGCCAATCTCCAACCTTCCTTTCATATCAAACATTCTTGAAAGAGTAGTTGTCAGCTAACAGATCATCTGCAGAGGAATGGCTTATTTGAAGAGTTTCAGTCAGGTTTCAGAGCTCATCACAGCACAGAAACAGCTTTAGTGAAGATTACAAATGATCTTCTTATGGCCTCTGACAGTAGACTCATCTCTGTGCTTGTCCTGCTAGACCTCAGTGCAGCGTTCGATACTGTCAACCATAACATCCTATTAGAGCGATTACAGGTACTGCGCTGCAGTGGTTTGTGTCATATCTATCTAATAGACTCCAATTTGTTAATGTAAATGGAGAGTCTTCTTCACACGTTGAGGTTAATTATGGTGTTCCACAGGGTTCAGTGCTAGGACCAAATCTGTTCACATTATACAGGCAGTATCATTAGAAGGCATAGCATACATTTTCACTGCTATGCAGATGACACCCAACTCTATCTATCCATGAAGCCAGATAACACACACCAATTAGTTAAACTGCAGGAATGTCTTAAAGACATAAAGACCTGGATGCCTCTAACTGTCTGGCTTCTGAACGGACTCACGCGCAGACAGTTCTTTCTCAGAGAACAAAATGAGATTTATTTACAACAGGGATCACCTCATTATATATATACAGTGAGTTGGGAGGGGGGGTCCAGGGCTCCAGGGAGAGAAGGAGGGGGGAAATCCACACACACGCTTCCTCTTCCACACAGTCACCGCCACAGCTCCTCCGCACACACGCACTCCTCTTCAGCCGCACTCGCTCCAAAACTCCACACACGCTGCCACACCCGGGCAGGTCCCGTGATTTGGTCCAGAAGAGGGATATCTACACACAGAAGTTAACGTTAGTTCCACAGCAAAATACACACAGGGGATTCTTTTGAAAATGCCGAGAGCGCGAACTCAGGAGGTTCAACATTCCAGCGGTGAGCTGCTCTGTGCCACTGCCTTAAATAGCAGCTGGGGAAATCAGCCAGATCAGCAGCAGGTGGACACAATCACACAGGTGCGTGGGCCAAGAGCGAGAGCCCGTAACGAGCTCCACCCAGGCAGAGAGGAGGAGGAGAGACAAAGAAAACAAAAACGAACAACAACAACAAAACTTGTAGCCAGCGTGGGCCAACCAGTGAGACACGGGGACCGTGACACTAACTTTCTGCTTCTTAATTCAGATAAAACTGAGGTTATTGTATTCTGCCCCGAAAATCTTAGAAATATGGTATCTAACCAGATTCTCACCCTGGATGGCATTACCTTGGCCTCCAGTAACACTGTGAGGAAAGCACTTGGTAGTTACTTGATGGTGACTTGTGCTATGGGCTTGAAGTTGGCCTCTAGTGTTGTACACCACATCCCCATTGAGTTCCTGATGATTTATAGCTCTTAGGGTCCTGTTGATCTTGTATAGTTCTAGTCATTCCAGGATCCAGCTGTGGGGCATCGAGTCACAGGCCTTCTTGTAATCTTGTAATCATGTCGGGGCCTGGTGCTGTCCAACTCTTCATACTGGAGACCCTTTCTTGGATATCTGCCACTGTGATTGTTACTGGTCCCAGTTCAGGGAGGTTGCTGTGGTTGCTCTTAGATCCACTAGCCAACTAGACAGTGAGCATTGCTGTTATAGGTTGCATCCTTCTCCCATATTGCAGTATTTCAGTATTGCACAGTCTCCAGTGTTACAGCCCTAGCAGGGCCTCCTCCTGAAGGTGCCTGTGTGGGCGTGTCCTTCAATCGCTTCTGCCTGAGGTGCCACCTTTTCTCATTTACACAGCTGAATCACATCAGTAATTAAAGGGATTTAAGCCCAGGTACAGGTGAGCTCTGGGCCAGAGTGCCATGTGAATGATTACAGCTAGTGAGCTGGGTGTTTGCAGCTAGTGAGCTGTGTTTTTCCAGTTTGCAGCTAGTGAGCTGTGTTTGTTCAGCTAGTGAGCTGTGTTTTTCCGTTTGCAGCTAGTGAGCTGTGTTTTGTTTGCAGCTAGTGAGCTGCTCTCTCTTTTTGGACTTACTGTTTTTACTTTATTGACCAATTGAGTTTTGTTTGTTTCCTTAAATGGTGATAGCGGCTTGTCAGTCTCTTTTAGTTTTGCTATTTTAATAAAACTCTTTAATTTAACCCTTTTGCCTCCTTGACTCCTTTTTCTGAACCGGACACACCGCCTAGACCACTCAGGGGAACATAACAAGTGGGGGCTCTTCCGGGATATTTGAAAAGGGAGCTTCAAGTTGGATTTGGTTTTTGATTATCTTGCTTTGTCACCTTTTTGAGTACCACAACTTATTTTTGTGCCAGTTTGACACAATTAGCAACCACACAGGCTTGTGACAGAAGAAACACAGTTTAGGCCTAGATCTTAAAACCATAACTGCATTTGCCTTGTTAGCTGGCCCACTCTTACTTAACACCGTAACACCAGCCTTGGTGTTGCTGTTCTCATATTGTTGCACTGCCCTTTGGCTGGTTCTGTCGAGAACAGCTGGTTTATTCTCCTGCCTTCAATGTCTCTGGTGTATGTCTTCAAGCAGATGGCCAAGGCTGTGAGTCTTTGCTTGGCAGTCTCCAAGGCCTCAGGTATGGACAGCTTGCTGTACTTCTTAGGCACCTTCTTCATTGCACCTTATGGCAGATCCGATAGTTGGCTAACCTCCGTCCATGCTACCTTGATCTTGACTTCTAATCTCCTTCACTATGGAGGGTACCTCTCCTTGTGGCTGTTCAACTTATAGCCAAGCATCTCACTGATCACTGCTGCCGTAGTGTAAGTCAGGTGGTTAGTCTTGGTAATGGTTGCGGTAGGTATTGTCCATAGCACTGCACTTGCATCATCTAGTAGATGTTCTAAGGGTACTTCACGTAGTGTTGGTAACCGACTATGGAGGATTCAGGTTTCCAGCTTTGCCATGATCCTATCTTTCTGGTCAGTTGCCCTCACACTGAATGATACAGTCTTGTTCCAGTAGAACACTTTTCACCAGGGTGCCCTAATTCCTGAACACCTGACATTGACCTTGTTAATCCAGGCAATGTCCAAACCAGTATGGCTTTATATTTATCTCTCTCATTCATATCTGTGGTAGACTTGGTTAGCATGGTGGTCTAGCCTAAGATCGATACTGGATACAAACATACCCTCAGCCAACTGAGTGTTAATTTTGTAAAAAAACAACAACAACAACAACCACATGTTAACGATCTATAATGAAAGCCAAAGCAGCACCAATGAGTTCAAAACAATCCCTGAACCCATTGGTGCCACAACTGTTCTGATATCAGTTCTCCAGTTTATCTTGCAGCAGATAGGTAAAATAGATCAAATAATATACTATGTTTTTAATGAGCATTATCTTTCAGGACTCTGAAAGATGTGTCCCATACAGCAGTGACAGCAGTAAAGACTAGCTGGGGATATTTTCAAATTCAATTGATCAATTAAAAAACAAATGATTTAAACATATTCCACTTGTAAGTCAACCATCATATTTATTTAATATATTGTGACACAGACTTCAATTATCTGGACCGGAGAAAGAGAAAGTAAAGAAGGAGGCTTTGGAGCTGTCACTGAAGTACAGTTTTGTGACTCCTCTCACATCTATGGTGGTCACAAAGCCTCCAGGAGAGAACACAGATGTGCTTCATAAACCAAAGGAAGGTGAAACACCACAGAGATGGCAGCCCCGTGTAGATCAGTCCTTTTCAAGACAATAT